CCCGTTTCCCCACTGTGATGTGAACGTTGTATCCATCCACTCTATTCCTCTTTGTTTCCACTCTGCCCCCGATTAATTTTATGAACTGTTCTTCCTCGATGACGCTGAATAGAGGCACAGCACCTTTGTGCCAGGTTGTGACCGGTATTTCTCCTGACTTATCCGCAATCATGAAAGGAAGATACGATCTTATGTTTCCAGTTGTCAATAAGCCTTTGGGGTAGATCCACTTCACTTGATCAATGACGATTTTACCCGGCGCGATTGTCTTGAGTGCTTTGATAATCTGATTTTTTGACAAAGAAAGCATTTTCCAACGTTATTTTATTCGATGCTTTAGCATCCAGTTAGTCCCAAATGTCGTCTTCGAGATCGTCCCCCCACTGTTACGCTCTAATTCGGCATCTCTCTATTGTCTCTATTGTCCTCTGTCCTTCCTTTTTGTTGATAGAATTTTATCAGTCGATACGAATAGTCTCAAAAGATGATGGACGCTTCTCGCTTTGTCCTGTCTTAGCTGTGCACGCTGCACACGCCGACTTGTTCTGACTCGTCTCAAATGACAGAAATTGAGAATTGGAGACTAAAAATTTTATGGGATTTTTATCATGTAACTAGCTACCCCCCTGGCGTTGCCCGGGAAATTCCTTTTCCTTGCATCCCATTCTTTTGGTCATAATTTCTGGCCAATTTTGTTCGAAACCTTGCCAATTTTCTCGAGAACTCGAAATTTTTCTAGAATTTTTCGAGAGACCCAAAGATATATCCTTTAATTTTTTCGAAAATTTTTGGAATTTATAGAAAGTCCGAGAATGTTCTAAGAAAATTGAGAATTTCCTAGATTTTTTGAAATTAAGATTTTCAAAAGGCTCAATTTGAAAATCTCTACTTGAGACTTTCGAGGAAAGGTTCACCCTGGGAAAAAAAATTTTTTCGTTTTTCGAGAAAAGAAAGTGAAATACTATATGCTTCCGCGTGATTTTTCCTCGGGATTCCAATTTTGTAGGTCAAATTTGTCTCCGACCGTTAAAAATAAGAAATTCGAATTTCTTAATCGGAACATCAACTTGAAAAAACCCCCAACGTTTTTTAAAACAATTTTTTTAATCTGAGCACAATTGTTCGATCCTGGTGGGGGGCCCAGATTAAATTTGAATGTCTTCGGTTGAAATATCTGAATAGAATGAGTTGCAGAGAAAAATTAAATTATATTGAGTTTTTCTATAAAATATTTTTTATTTGACGTAACATTCATAAGAATAGAACCGGCCAAAAATTGATAGAAAGTTCGATAGAAATCCAATAGAATTGTCCAGCAAATTCGCTGGGTTTTTCTGTTATATTTTTTCGTGCGAATTTGTGTTAGGGTAACTAAATATGGTCTAAAAAGTCCGAATATGAGATTTTTATGTGGTTTATGTATGTATGCATATGTGGTGTTTTTTTTTTCATTTTTTTTCTCGAAATTTTCCTGTAGGGATCAATTGAATTTCATAAATTTTTTCATGAACATAGACTTTAATAAGCTCTAATCATTGACACCAATTAAAATTCAATTTTTCATACAGATTCGACGAAATTGATATTTTTCTAAAAATCTATTTTTCAACGATCACTCCAAAAATTGTCATCAAAATGGAATTAGTCATGGCTTAAAAAATTGATAATAATACCCTCTTGATTTTATCAGAATATGATGGGGGTCGCAGAATTCGTTGTTGAGTTACAGCATATTCATGAGATTTGAAAGAGAAAATCGGGTTTTTCATGATTACTGAAAGAATCATCAGTAATATCAATTAAATCAGGACATAACAAGTATATTTCAATGTCTTCTTAATCAAGTTGAAAAATGGTGAGAACAATATCATTGGTTATTAAATTGCACAATACCGTCCAGATAATGGGCTTTTTACATCAAAATCTCTATCGCTATTAAACTCAGGTACAAGGGTATTATGTTGAATACTTATTCATATTAATTCATTGTCCCAACTAACTTCTGACAGAACCTGGGTTAAACTCTTGCTAAATCCCAAATAAACCCTAATTAAATCCGGGCTATACATTGATTAAAGCTTCATTGAACCTTGATTCAACCCGGACTGAAATAGAAGCAGAGAATAGTGAACTAAGACTAAGAACAAAGGGAATCAATTCGGAAGTAAATTGCCAATTTATTAGCAGCAACAACTATACTCATTTATAAACAAACTGCAATTATCCACTTGTTTGACTTTGAAATGCTCCTGGCAACACCATTTTCATCCGATTTAAAAAATTTTCTGTCAAAATGTTCGTTAGAGTCCATAGAATATAACTAAGTATTTATTTTCCTTGCCATATATACCCTATTCGGGTTTTTACATATTTGCGGTTTCATGGGCCGACTTCCTCTCCAACCGTGTCGCATTGTACCCCAGGAGCTGTACCCCACGTACAGACTCTCCTGGTGACCAAGGGAAACCATGGAAAACCTTGGTCGACACGGGCGTCCATCGAGCCTCGTCGGAGAATGTTTTCCTAACACTTCTCCGATGATTCTCGGTGTCTAGACTTCCGTTCGACGGTTTCCAAAAGAGAATATAACTAAGTATTTTTTTTTTTATTATCTCATGAGATCATGGAATTTTTTTTTTTATTTACTCGTTCTTTTACTCTTCTATGGTATAAAAATTATTATTCTGGATTGTTGAACATTAAAATAGTAATTTAAAATACTAATTTTGAGTGACCGGAGACAATTATGACCCACAAAATAAGATTCCTGAGGAAAAATCCCGCAAAAAATAGTATTTTGTAAATTTTTTTCTCGAAAAACGAAACTCCTTTTTATGGGATGAACCTCAAAGTCTCACTTTGTGATCGCAAGTCTTAAAATTAAGCTTGTATTTCTTGTATTGAAAATTATTCAGTCGATGTTGCGAGAATCGCGAATAAAACAGACAAGTGATAAGGAGCATGTGACTGAAGATTTTACTCAGAAATGTGTTTATCCTTTTCTGCTAAATGGTTCCATTTTGGTTGTTTGATGAATTTTTATGCACTAAATAAAATTGGTTGAGCAATTTTCAAGATATTCAATAAGATAGATTTACATACAAAGTTGAAACCCACCTAGTTGAAGTTCTGGGTTGAGTCTTCGGGACTAACAACCCAGTTCAGCCCATTTTCAATACGAATCATACAACGACATGGAAAAAATTTTTCCCGAAAAATTCATGTGCAAAACCACAATATAAATGAGTCACAATCCGCATACTTACAAAAATGATTGTGTAGCAGAAAAATTTTCGTGCGGCAGCAACAAAATTATAGTGCCCTCAATCATTTTTCTGGTGCTAAACAATAATTTTTCTGGTGTAGCATGACAATTTTGGTGGTCCACAATAATTTTTCAAGTATGCCAGTTGTGACTCGTTTATGGCGCTAGCACATGAATTTTTCAAAAAAAAATTTCTCAGTGGATAAAAGGAAACTTCATGCCAAACTTCAAGTTAATATCTCGATTCACGTATGAAAAAATTTAATGGAAAACCTAGTAGATTCACTAGAAAATGCTATTGAAATTCTATGGGAATTCTATGGAATTTCCATACGATTTCTATTGGAATTCTATTGAAAAATTCTCCTTATTTTTTGTGATGATTCTATTGGATATTCGATAAGATAAAATCAATAGATTTCGAATTTCGATTTGAATTTTTCTATTGAGATTTTTTCTATAAGAAAGCTTGGGCATCAATTTTCTAAATTTTATCCAGTTGGATTCTGTAATGCAAAGCAAAACTAAATCCAGCGGAAAAAAATTGTGCCTAATAATTCTATTAAAAGAAATCTCAAGAGAAAAATTCGAACAAAAATTCAAAATATACTGACTTTTTCCTATCAAATATGCAATATTATCACAACAAAAAAACTAATAGAATTTTCTGGCGAATTCGATAGGTTTTCTATTGAATTTTTTCATGCGTGTTCTCCCAAAGTTAGAGTGTCTACAAGGATTTTGAGGCGAAAAGCATAAAAATAGAAATATCCCAAAAACTTTGTATTAACAGTTATAAAGATTTTTGATTTCGATAGAAGATATCGAGATAAATCATTTGAAAAAAATATCGAAATCAGTTGGATAGTTTGGAAGATATTTGGGAAAACCCGTTTAATAACGTAAACGAAAATTCCTCTAAAATGGCTGGGTTAATTGAACTCAAATTACAGAGTTAGTCCTATATGATGCCTATAATCTGACAAAATATTACTTTTTTTACATTATTATGCAGTTTAATTTTTCGATTTTCGACCTTTTTACACAATTCCCAGCAAAATTAGGGAATGTAAAAACTGAACGACTTCAGTGCATTCATTCGGAAGCAAAAAGGCAACAGATTTATTATGTGTAAGATCAGAAACAAATTCATGAATGTAAAAAAATTATATAGAAATTCCATGAGTTCTTAACATTATTAACATTCCTCCCTTCATCTAAAGCTAGAAAAGGAATTAAGTTAGCGGTTTATTGTATTTTTTATTCCTTCATTTATTTTTGAAAGTAATAAAAGTAACGATAAACAATCAAAGGAACTAATTGTTTGACATCACGTTTCGACCATAATTTACTACAGCTAGAATTATATTGTTTTACACTAAACAATTGCTTCGTGTCACAAGATAGTTAGATTACTCCATAAAGTATCTGGAATAGAGTCCCTTCATTAGTTAATCTTCATTGAATCGTTCATTGGATAATCTTTGCTAAAAATCCTAGATTATACAAATTAAAGAAATATAACACAAGGCTTCCATTCGGAAACAAAAAAGATTTCTAGATTCTAGAATCTTCAACAAAGGTTATCCTTATTGTTCCTAGGCTTAAGGATATCCCTGGAAAAATAGATTGTTGATAAAGAAGGTAACACCAATTTTTTTTAGAGAGGATAATGTTTGTTATATATTACATTATAAAATCTCAATAACGAGCAGTCGTACGTGGTTTGTTTCAGATTCGAAGACTACCTGTAAACTATCAGCCCCCAAAACTACAGCAGTACTATGAAGATTTAAAAGTGGTGAAAAACCACATAAGGAAATTGACGGAATTTCACCGGAATTTACGAAAGACATACAAAGGATGCTTCATACTTTAGACCTCTATAATCTTTCGTCATTTTTTAATTTCATGATCCAAATTGAAGAATGAAGAGTCAACAATTTCACAGTGAGGTCAACGTGACAGAAAATTTCTGTCGACACAAGTTGTAAACATCAGCACATTTACATTGAACCGCGACTCCAAGTCAGTACAAATAATTTTTATACGCAGAACACCTCGAGTGTAGTTGCTGAAAATTAGTTATCGCTCATTTCCAACGGCAAATTATCAAGGGGCCATAATATAAAATATACGTTCAGTCGAGAGTAACGATGACTTCCCGGTACGTGATTCTTGTGCGTCTCGCAATAATATTTACGGTAAGTTTTAGGGATTTCAAAATTTTTATGAAAAACTTCCTGCATTCCTTTTTTCATGTTTGGATACGAATCATCTTATCAGTAATTCCCATTTGAATTTTTCAATGTAAAATTCTTAAAACTCAAGTCAAGTTTTTGAAATACCACGTTCTTATTGAAGACTATACCACCAAATACACCAATATTTTCCATGGAACAGTGGATATTCATGTCAAATTGTTTGTGAAACATAAAGCATAAAATTTCTCTGTAATTGCGTATCATGATGCGACAGTCTTTACCAATACAATTTCCCTTTTGTTTTTGCAACTAGGGTAAACAGACCAATTGCTGGACGGTTTAGGGAAATTCGATTTTCATGGTAGGATCGAAAATAAAAGAATTAGCTGAATGGGGATATTTTGATTAGCAGAAAACAATTATTTGAAGGGGAAATAACAAAACAGAATCATTAGATTAAGAAATAGTTGAATGCAGCCGAAACCCCTAATTTCTGGACAACTGGGCCATTTTTTTTTATTTATTAAATGTCCATCAATAGAAAAAATAATTGATCACATGATTATACACGAGTAATATTATTGAAAGGTGAAATAATCAGTACAATTTTCATTTTGTTTATGGAACATTCAATGCAAGTTGAAATCGCACAGAAACGCACCCTCGTCCAAAAATTGACCTGTTTACCCTACACAGAGGAAAAAAGTTTCTGGTTTCCAGAACTAAGTTATGGATTTTAATCCCTCAAGCCCGGCGTTCATACCACATATGAACCCACGCGTGAATATATGTCTCTTTTTAAAGATGAATATTTCGGAAAATATAAAACTTTAAAAATTTATGCAAACTCTGTTGTGAAGGCTACTCGCTTGAATTTGATTATTACTACTTTATCTGTCGCTTTTGAGCTATTAGAAGTTAGTGAATCGCGTTGCGGTGAAATTTAAGGATGTTTATCCAAAATCGCAATTACTTTTAAAAAATTGATTTTGTTTTTGAACTGGGAGATGAAGTTATTCCTTTTATCTTGATAGAAACTTCAATCCACCAATCCACGTTTATTATTTAGAAATGTAGTGGACAAAATGCACCAAATGCATGCGCTAACATGCGCTTATATGGGATAGAATCTTTCAAATATTTCCTCTTTTTGCCCGGGTACCCCAAATTTTCTCTGGCCATTCGATACAGTATAGTTTTGCACGTCACCTTCTATTTTTATTTCTATTTTCGGAGTTTTCTGGTAGGTAAATTATAAATTTCAACATAAATCCCATAAGAGCCCGGGTATAAAAACATTTGTTTATTTATTTCTGGCGAGACTATTGCGATTAATTTTTTTTTAACATCAAAGAAATTAGTTTTATGTGTTCTGCTATCAGCCAAATAAATTATAGAATTTTCCTTGAACATGAAAAAATAAAATTTGCTGAAAATGGCTAAACATTCTTAAGGGGATGCGTCGGTGAAATTTAAAAGTCTACACTGTCTCTAGGGACCCATTGAACAATTTGTGATATATGACGGAATATGGGAATAACTAGGGAAAATCGCGGACTCGATCGATTTTGCCGCGTATAACGACGAAATACTTCATTTTTTTCGGTTTTTACCATCAAAATACTCCTTGCGCCATAGTTTTCATACGATTTTAGCTTCTTTTTTAATGTTCGTTACACTCCAAAGAATAAAGTTAAGCATCCGTTTTACTTTGTTCGCAATAAATCGTGAATAAATGAATTTTGAATTTCATAAATTTTTCGCGTCTCTGGAGTAGAGTAAAATTGAGGGGCTACTCACTCCCGAAATCACGGCGCCATTCTGGCATCAAATTATTCCGAAATCGCTGCGAAACCAGCGAAATCATTGAAATCAAAAGCGATTTCAGCTCTCCGAAATTACATGAAATCATCTGAAATCAATGAAATCGCCGAAATCAGTGGCGCACTAGAGTAGTGCGAACCGTGCAAGTAATTTGTGATTTTGAAATTGTTACGCCTGCCAACGATAATAATAAAATACCATACTCATGGCCATAGTAGAATGGTAAAATGAACCGTTTTTCATCGTCATTAGCTCAAGATTGGCGGAGTGGAATTAAACGAATTCGTTATTATTTGCAGTTATTATTGCCAGTTTTGATTTTCATAATTTGACACAATCCGTTTTGCCCCACCTCTATTACTTATTAACTTTATTTTTCTAAAATCACTGATTTCGAATTAATGAAATCATTCGAAATCACGAAATCACTTCCCGTGACGCTCAAAATCAGTGAAATCACCAAAAATCGACTTAATTTCGGAATCATGGTGAGTTGAGTGTCACTCAATTACGGAGTGAGTAGCCTCTCGAGTTTTTATTTGGAACGCTGAACCAAATAAAAGCGTGGTACAAAATAAAACCCCAATACAGGATTTTATTTCGAGTTGTGTAGCGAAAATCATATGGAAATCCCGCCGGAAATTTATCAGAGATTTTGGGGGGTTGGGTGGATTTAAAAAAATGTCCCTTAATGTTATCTAGAATGTCCGTAGAAATCGTGTATGAGTTACGATTTTTTCTGCTTTTTTCTTAATTCATTTTTTAAATAGTATAACTCGCGTTTATTGAACTAAATGGAATTTCCCAGCTTTCCAAATTTGTATCTTTTCTCTAGTGTTGTGGAAGTGTGGGATACCTATATCTCTCTCGATTTCGGAATGCATCAAATGTTCATAAATCTCATAAAAAATAATTGAAAAACTAAATTTCCCGTAAATACGGTATTCTCCAGAGGGCAATTGGATGTATTAAATTTTTACTTTTTTTTAGAATTCCACAATTTTTATTAAAGATTCCGCAAATAAGATTGATCGTTTTCTTGAACAATCTATAAAATAAAATCGATCATTTCTGATAATGAAAATTTCCCAAGATTTCGGGTCATTTTCGATAAAAATGGTGAAATTTGGATTTAAAAAAAAATATATATATAATCAAAACTTCATCGATTCTCGAATCCCACTAAAACAATAAGTGTTTAGTGGAAAAATTTATTTTTAAAGAAATGAAACAAAGCAAAAATTAAAGTGTAATTGTGAAAATTCGAGATTTCCAATAATTTCAACGAATTTTTTCAATTTAAGCAATCAGAGGTAGAGAAAAATGGCCACAGATTGACCGAATTCACATGGAATACCCCATACGATTTTCCCTATGCGAAATCCAAACTCCATCAAAATTAAACATTTTAATAGGGATTCTATTTCACACAACGAATTTTAAACTCTGCGTTTCATTTTGCCCTGATTTCACCTATAATTTTAAAAAATATCACTTTTTGCCAAATGAATTTTAGTAACAATCCATTCATTCGATGGATTGTTTTCGATTATTCTTAGTAGTTGGCTCACTTAAAGTATCCATAACTGCAAAAATACTCCGAAAGACTGACATTAATTGACGCGGAAACATTCGTCATTTGATCGATGATTTTTGGTAAAAATTTTAGATTAAAAAAAGGTTTTCATGATTGAATAAAAAAAACGTTTTGACACATAAACTCCATAAAAAATGAAATGAATGCGGTAAGTGCCGTCTGATTTTGAAGGTTTTTTCATGTTCTTTGATTGTGTTGAAGCGTCTATTAATGGCTCGTAAGGGGATTAGAGTATTGATTATAATGCGAAAAAAAAATTCATTGAGAAAACCGGGAAATTTTCAAAAGATCATTACTTTCGCAACTATCAACTTTTTTAAATGATTTTTTTTGCGGAATTTTCGTCTGATGTCCACACATTTTCTAAAAAAATCCCCGACATCGAATTTTTTGAGCTTCGCATTTGGCGTAGAAACGCGCATATGAATATTCTGAAAAATATGAATTTTAAGTAAGCATCATGTGATTCTTCCAACCCAAAGTTCATTCATTGTGTGAACTTTTTGATACTAAAGAACTACAATAGACTCGATTTCTAGCCATTTCTTGCTGTACAATTACATGAATGCATTTGGAATAAGTGTTTTAGTATTATTATGTTTTATTCATTTATCTCCTTGGTGTCACAAACGTTTTCTTTGTTTTACACCTATGTAGATCTCCTACTCTCTTTAATAATTAAATAACGTCAATTACATAAAATTTCTTCAAAATTCATATTTTCATTTAATTTAACTCTATTGTAATTGGTTAAGATCGAAGATCACAGTTAGTCCTCACTTATTTGTTGCTTTTCTCATTACTACACCATCACCCTCTTCTCACATGACCCTGCCTTGTTCCTACCCCGCTTTCTTCTTAGCCGTTCATGTCTCTCCTTGCCCTCTCTCTCGTTTCCACCTGAGAGAAGGGATTTAGTATATTTTGACACTAGGCCACGAGGAACTTTTCTGGCAAATAAAACTTTTTTAGCTCATATGATTGCAACCCTCGCCTTCGGCTGCAAACTTATTTTCGCCAAAAAAATTGATTTCGGCCTAATGACGAAAAGTTAATGTTCCCAAAAATTTCGATCAGAATGTTTCTACATATCAATAAGAAAAATATTAACTCATGAACCTCTCTCATTCGTAGATGTCGATGGTTGTTGTCAGCGACGAGTTTACTAAAGAGCACAAACATCTCCTGGAAAAGATCTCAAAGGTCCTGTCAGGTGCTGAACCCTTGCCAGAGAATATAGTAGGAAAACGGGAGACCTCATTGGAACGCACAGAGAAATTGAATCGTGGATTCCAAAAAATGATACAAGTTGTTAACGTTCTCGGTCAAGTGGACAGTTTTCTCACTGATCGTGCAAAAACCGTTGTACGGAAACTCAATGCCATTTATGATGCCGACGATGACAAACGTATGCGTAGACGTACCGATTGATTAACTCTCATCATCTTCATTTTAATCAAACCACAATTTTGAAATATTTTCCATTATTTAATTTATTGTATAGAAAACAATTTTACATTTTCATTTGTGTCCTAAACTAATGTTGTATAAATAAAGAAAAAAACCGTAATACTCAGAAAAACTCTGAATGGGCAATCAAATAGTTGACTTTCAATCTCAAAAATATCCTATATTTAATTCAGTGATTTATATTGGGTTCATGTTCGGAAATTTTTAGCAGATCTTCGAAGCATGTGAAGGTCTATTTATATAGCGCAGTTGTCAATCTCATTGAAATTATCTGAGAAATTCTGTTCTGTTTTTCGCCTATCTTTGTTAAATAATTTTCTTAATTATTAAAAAATCTGACTTCTCCGAGTATCACCGTTCAAAGAGATGTAAGGGGCCATGCAAATATTAGGTCATTAGGCGTTTTTTGGACTTTTTAGCCCCTCTACAAAATCCTGACAGAGGATCACAAAATCCTGTTATGGTGAATTTCTAATTTTTTTCATAAAATGGAATTAAACAAGCAGGGCTGCGAGCCTATTCGACAGAAGCAATGTGAACGGTACTTCGTTCTTTTTTCTTCCGAATGGACCTGTAGCAATGGTTCTAGGATAAATGTTCCTCTGAAAATCATTCCGGGAAAATTATTCCTCGGAAAAATGTTTCCCATGCATATTTTCTCTTTCCACGCTGATTCCTATTTTCATCGCAATTTCATCGAATATTACATATTACATAATATAAAAGAGAAAAGAACATCAATTTTTAGTATATTACTTTTTAAGTCTAGGGGCTTATTCTCGTCTATACGATTACCATGTGCATTGAGCAATCCGTAGATAAAGCCTCGTTCACACCCAAATCCATCTTCACACAAGTTGAGAATAAGTCCCCAAAGACGAACATAATCAATAAAATGACGATGTGTGACTTTTTAGAAAAAGAGATTTTTGGATGACTTGCTCTATACCAGAATGTATTGAATCGATCGACACAAAATTTTATACACAAGTGTGACTCAATAATACTAATTAATAGCCAGAATCTCAGATGTTGATTCCAAGTTTTACGCGTATTATGGGAACGCCAGATTAACTCTCAATTGAAAAAATTATAAAAACGCGAATATCTCGAAAACTTTGTATAACCGGCTATTCATATTTTGATCGATCTTGATAGGTGGCGGCGAGACGAGTATTTTGAAGAAAGAAAAATTAATCGGACCAGTAGTTTAGGAGATACTGGACAAGACAATTTTTCACAAACAGTTGAATATCTTTTAAACCACTTGTCCGATTTCGCCTACCCACAAACGTATCTTGTAATATCACACGAGTGACAATCTCACCAAATTTCAACATCCTATCTAAATTTTTTCGGGAGCTATCGTGCGCAAAATGATTTTCGCATAAAAAAGAAAAATGTCGATTATTACCAAACTGTCCCTACTTACATAATAATATTGTGATTTGATTTGAAAGATATTATCATAAGGAATATTTTGATGTCAAAAAAATTCCACTCAGTCACGTAGTTTTCGAGATATTGGGGAATAGTATATTTCGTAACGAGTGCAAAAAACATTTTTTCACGAGTTACGAACAATATTTTTCATCACAATGTGGCGGAAATTGGACTTTTAGGCACGCGGAGCGTGCCGAAAAATTCACTTTTCGTCACAGCGTGATGAAAAAAAGATTTTTGAGAAATTGCTGCCTCGGAACCTACTTGACCGATTGAGCTGAAATTGCGTCCAGAAGTGCTTCAAAGGAATATCAATTATGTGACGAAATTTCAGATTTTTAGCTTCAACTTTAGTCCTTTTTCTATGGATATTTATCAAAATTTTCCGAAAAATTTGCAAATACATCCGGACATACATGAGACATTCCACAAAAATTGTCATAGATTTTAAGCTTCCAAAATTCGATTTTGAATTTTCGTTTATATTTTGTTAACCAACTAAAATGAGTAAACTATGAAAACTTCAGACCTTTTGCTACGTAAGTACCAGAAAAACGTCTATTTTTTACTTTTTTTCATTTTTTAATTTCTAGTTTTCATGTGACCGAATTAAAAAAACTATCTACAAGTAATTTTCCATTGGAAATTATAAGAATTTTTCCAAAAAAAATATTTTCAAAATTTTAAATTCAAATTTTCACTATGAATGAGTTTTAATATCGATTTTGTTTTTTTTTTATCATTCAACCTACAGTGGCCGCTTTTTTATACATGGATTTTATGTAAAAGTGTCTCAGCTTTTTCGAAAAGCCGAGAAAAAATGAAAAAACAATTGGGCAACGCCGTCAATGTTCACCTTTCACCATTAAACCTCATTATTCATAGTGAAAATTCAGAAAATTTCCGGTGGAAAATGGTATTAGCTACAGATATTTTTTTCAATTCTGTCACATGAAAACTGTAAGAACGAACAAATGAGAAAAACGCAAAAAGATGTGTTTCTCTGTTATTTACGATGCTCTTTGAGCACTTCGCAATTTATTAAATTGTTGTCATCACAGTATTGTGAAATTTTCATGAATCCTCATGAATCTCTGGAACACTGTGAAGAACTCGTGAAACCTGTTTTTTCGCGAGGCAAAGGGGACGCGAGTAAAATTGCTATTGCGATTTTCTCGATTGAAAATGCAAAAAAGTGTGACATCACAACTTGAGCCACCCCCTCCCCCTCTCCGCCCAAACCGTCAGAAACTACAGACCCCCCATCCGGTCTCATCATTTACCGAAATATTCGAATAGCCCCTAAAATATCCTCCGATTGCAGGAAATTTAAACCAAACAATATGGATATCGCGGCAATGAGCATTGCCGGGTTAGGTTAGTCAGTCTCCCGTGCCAACGCATTCCGGTGTTTCATAAAAAGTTATTGCTCCCAAAAATCTCCCTCCCATGTTTCGTCATCATCAGTGAAAATCACCAGTAAGTCTGTCAGTTTCTCCAATATCCCGCGAGTTAACACAAGTAAAATAAAGAATGAAAAACCGTAACCGCCTATAAATGAACATGAGCTGAAGATTGAGTGAACGCGTCCCTCTGGCAAATTCCCATGTAACTCACGCCGATGACCTCACCCTATTGGCCAAGAACGAGAAAAAGCCATAGTGGAACGTTGGGTGTAAAGGGGAATGGAACAGGCTGCATAATTGTTCCACAATTTTCACCGAGGAAAGGATAGACAGAGAGAAAACGGGAAAAATTTGTCGTGTACATGTAACTTGGGCTTTTGGCACAAGAAAGTTTATACACTTCCCGTTCGCCACATGTTGATTAATCGTGCATTACTCGATAAACGACGATTGGAATACAATAGTTCTGGGTGTTGTACGGACAACATTGACGCGTGTCACACGCGATTAAATTAAAACGAGTTATTGTTGATCCAAAGGATTAATAATATTTTAGAATTAAGCTGAACCGTTGAGACGGCACTCGTCAACGACAACGTCGAGCACCAATAAAAGGTAGAATAACGACGATTCACGTATCATCGAGAGAGTGCGGTATTATTCGTCTAGTCTCAAGTACAAAAGAAAGAGGGTAGAAGTAACATTGGCGTTTGTTGAGAAAAATAGAGTGAGGGAGCGAGAGAGAGACATAGAGTGACAGAGGGGGGGGGGGAGAGAGAGAGAGCAGGAGTGGAGAGTTACGTCACTCAACACGATACATAAAAAACGGGCAATTAAGGAAATTATTTCTCTTTCCATTAATTGCTCCTTTCCTCTTATGTTACAATCCTCTCTCAAACATTATTTTTTATTATTTTTTACGAATACAAACTTAACCAAGTTTCATCAGTCTCGAATATTTTTATCGGTGTAGAAATCAGACGACAAGAACAACTGGATTGACATAGTCATAGTTGTTCGTTAATCATATCATTTGTTTCCGTATTTATTTCTACACATTGGATATAAATTTTACATCTTCAATCTGTGTTTATAACCGCGCGCCTCTTTTCCAAACGATACTACACCCCAAAGGCGCGTCGCCAGTATAACCTAGAATAAAAAAGGAATACAAAATAATTACTTGTTTGAAATTGTTCAAGTTGTTTTAACAAATCGAGCTTTGCAGGGCTATAAACGTTGGAACACACGCATATATTGAAGGAAATTACTGTTCTCGTCAACAAGTGCAGAGAATCATTGTTGTTTTTTTTTGTTGTGATCAACTGGAAAGACAATTTTTAATACACGGGTGTACGGTAACATTATCAAAATTCCGGTCCCCACTAAGAAACGAGAAGGCGCTCAGCGTACTGGCGATAAGTATTCGCGATACAGTAGCGAAGATACTTCGTCTGGTAGCAGAATGAATAACAAGAGGAAGAATCGTGCCAATCCAACAAGGTTTGTACTTTATCCAATGTACGTGTCATGACTGTCGCAAAGAGCAGTTTATAAGGAGAGACGGGAAATTGATGATGAAAACACTTGAAATGTTTATTATTTTCAGGTCCCCGCGGGCCCGGGGTCCCCAGGAGAGGACTCCAGTGGCAGCAGAGGGTGTCTACAACAATGCACATTTCATGCACGCTGTGACGAGTCACGTTGGCAATACAGTTCAGGTAGTCTCCAACGTGTCCATGAAAACAGCAAAATGCAAGATTTTCATGACACAGAGACAAAATTTCGACTTTGGCTCTCCTAGAGATGAAGATGAATTGCCCGCATTAGAAGGATTAGATTCCGCTGATTCTAAATCCGTTGACAGAATTCCTGAAGGCCTAGTTTGAAGGAAAAAAAAATGTTAGTTCCCAAAATCACCGAAAACCGTTAAATTCAAAATTCAATAATAGAATAATGCGTGCACCAGTCGGACTGAAATGAAATATTTGGAAAAAATATTTTTTTGTTTTCTCAGTGTTTTTTTAGGGTTAAATGTAATTTTCAATGCCTAGTTACTGAATTTATTGAAAATTATTCCGTGCGTCAATCGCAAAAAACTGTCTATTCATAAATCTCGATTCTCTCATTTTTAACTTTCTGGCCCGAAGGGAGGGTGTTATTGTAATGACCCCGAAAATCGATTGTGGAAATTTCATGATTTCTCCACGTTTCATGACCTCTAGAAACTCTGCAACACTTTTTAGGGACCGGTCTGTATGTGTGGATGTGTGTGAATATGTGAGCAAAATTTTGTGCTACGATTGTTCTCGAACAAACGATGCGATTCAATTTTATTTCACCCAATCGATGTGTTTTCATTTAACTTAGAACTGATTAGATTTTGAAGAACATCGCCTCAGCGGTTCTTTAGATTTTGCAGTAAAACTTGTGAAAAAACGTCGAAAAATGACATTTTTTACCAATTTGATGATTCCTCTCAGAAAAACAATAAGATGGATTTCTTGTCATGATAATTGATGCAGCTTTAATTAATGGGTCACACCCACTCCAACCCACCTGCAATTCAAATTTTTTTGAATTTTATTTGAGTCCGATTGGTGCACGTGTTTTTTTTTATTGAATTTTTAATTTAACGATTTTTGGTAATTTTGGGAACTTTAACATTTTTTTTTTCTTTAAAACTAGAAGACCTGGAGGAATTCTGTTAACGGATTCAGAATCAGCAGAGTTCAATCCCCCCAATGCGAATAATTGCATCTCTAGAAGAGCCAGGGTTGAACTTTTGTCGGACTGTGTAAATGACCTGTTTTTCTCATTGAAATTTTCACTCTAGATTCAAACCCAGAATGGATCCCTCTATGAGGGCATATTCCGTACATTCTCAAGTCAATTTGAGGTAGTCCTCGAGATGGCACATCGTGTGGATAGTACAGGAAAAATAAGTGTTGACACTGTTGTCGAGAAACTGATATTTAAACCACAAGATATTATAACAATGTCAGCTAAAGACGTTGATCTTGATTATGCTATAAGAGACACGTTCCAGACTGACACAGCAATTAGTAAATTTAATGGACTGGTAGGTGAGAAGGAATTGGAGCCATGGGATGCACCCATGTCAATGAATGGTGATGAATACGATCTAGACAGTACAGCCAATGGTTGGGATGCTCACGAGATGTTCAGGAAGAATGAGCAGATATACGGTGTACAATCGACATTCGAGCCGTCCCTGTCTGGTTATACGCTGCAACTTCAGCGCAAAGAGACCAAGGAATTCAAGGAGCAGGAGCAGAAGGCTGCAGAAATAGCTAATGAAATTGAGGCACAGCCGAATCACAAGGCACGTCTGGACTTGGAGAACGGTGATGAAGAGGAGCGTTTTGCCTCTGTAACAAGGCCTGCCAATGACGGCAAATACGTGCCACCACAGAAACGTAATAGTGTGAACAGTGGAAAATATCAGAAGGCAAACCCACCAACTCCATCACCCAGTCCAGGAGCTGGTAAATTTAATCAGCCGTCCCCATCGTCAACCATTAATTCATCGCAGACGAGTAGTTTACCTGTTGTTGGCACTGGTCATCCACCAGTTCAGCAGCAGCAGCAGCAGCAGCAACAACAAGGGCAGCATCCAGGCTCTCACAACATGGGAATGCCACCGAGTGGTGTTGTAGTCCAGTACAACACACCTCCACCGTTTGTACCACCACCCACAACTCAGCCACCACCATCGATACCGGTGATTTCTCCTCAGCAAGCACACATTGGCTTTTCACCACAACAGCAGCAGCCCCAGTCTTCACAACCATCCCAGTCGCAGCAGCCACCTCCAAACAAGCTCAATGTTGATAAACGTGAGCGTCCTGGACGACAGCAGCTCTATCAGGTCGATAAGGCACCACCTGCCCCATTCCCACCGTCTAACACTGTTCCCAGCCCACATCAGCAGGGCCCATCCCCTCATCCACCTCATGCTTCGCATCCCCCTCATGGTCCTCACATGCCTCATACCCCCCTTCAGCAGCAAAACTCGTTGGAGAATCAGAGGGGCGAACTACTGACTCCGAAGCCTGATCACAGAAAAATTTCAACACCGAGGGGACGCGATGAACCCCATGAGCTACGACAATTCTCATCGGACTTCAAACTCGCTGATTCCAACTCCCAGGACACCCCAATCATGTCTAGAAAGCAACAAATTCATCATCAGGAGGCCCACACACCCCAGACAATTCCACAGAGTCATCATCAGCCTGTACACAAGCAGACTCCAGTTACACCAGTTCAATCTGCTCATCAAGCTGTTCATCAGACACCTCAGCTGCCGGAGGAGCCTGTTGTCACGAGTAAACCACCACCTGGTCCAGTCTCGGTGAGGCCTACAACTCCACCTCAACCTGTACAGACGACCCCACCGATGCAGCAGAATATCGCTGAGCCTGCTGTTGAAAAAATCACCACTGCCTTCAAGAAATCAACTCTCAATCCCAATGCTAAGGAATTCAATCCAAATGCCAAACCCTTTACTCCTGTAAGTTGATGGCAAAAAAGATTTTTTTTTTGGCTTGAGAAAATTGGGATTTCTTCATGATAATTAATTTTACAGCGATCACCGAGCACCCCAACACCAAGCAGACCACATACACCACAAACGCCTCAGTACTCTGGTGCTACGATGCCAGCAGGGGCTGTTGTTGTGGGACCAACTTATGTTGTGACGAGTCAACCACCAACGGCATTCACACAGCAGCAGGCCCAACCTGGCACGAGGTTCCGGAAGGGTCAGTATCTAGGTATCGTAGAACAATGAACATGGTTTTATATCTCATCTTTTTTCTTGATACATTTAACACAGAGAGACCGAAAAGTTTCATGTTTCCAGAACCAAATTACTGCTTTTAAAATTTAAAAACTGGTTAGTCAATAGACATTTTCATAATGGAAATCTGGGGGAAATATTGAGGGGGGAAGTGGACACTTTGGACATTTTTTCCAATGTTCATAACTCAGGAATGAATTTATCAGCAGAAGTCAATCTAGGCTTGCTCTCTCCATGGAAAAAAAATCCTTTTCATTAAAAATTGAATGAATTATTGATATTTCAAAAAAATTCAAAAGTGTCCATTTTGCCCCATTATCCTCTATTCCGTTCATCGAACTGAAAAACCTTCAGAAAAATAATGAAAATTTCTGATAAATATTGACGTTTAAAATGATATACATTTGAGCTTTTAAAAATGATGATTTATATGCAAATTTGGTAAAAGTTTCCAAAAATGCAGTGACTCTCAGGATGAAAAGTTCTATTTCTAGAGAAAAATCTATAAAATTCAGTACCAAAAATTCTGAAATAAAGAACAGTTGGATTTTTGAATAACTGTATAATTAAGAGTGTTAATTTTTTAATAAGGACTTCGCATTCTCAAACAGACATTCTAAAGAGATGAAATTATGGAATGGTTGAACATTAATTTAAGGTTAATTGAGTCAAGTCTCAGATCTCAGCATATGTCGTATACTTTGCAAAACAGAGGATTTATGAACATGAGAAGATTAGTTGGAAAACAGAAAAAATGATCAATTCCAGAGAATGTTTGCAATTTGCAAACCCATGTGTTCTTGAATCAAGAACTCAAAAGTTTTAAGTCCCAAAACGAAGATTTGTGTGAAACAAGATAAAATTTACCTCAATTATATTAAATTTAAGTGAAAATCATTGAGAATGAGTAATTTTTTCTCTGATTTTTAGGGAAAATTGTCGTAAAATAAATTTCAACACGACAATGTTGAAAAATTTGAAAACTTGCTGGAAACTAGAAACTTTTTTGCTCTGTGCACCATAGAATTGAATGGTTCCGACTAAATCCATAAAATTATTAAGACGGAACATTTCAATATTTCATACTTTTTTCAACTATTCAATTCCGTTGTAAAGTGATAAAATAGGTCAGTTTTTAGAGAACATTTCTGAATTTGAACTTTTTCAAATCCCAAGATGTTTATTACAAATTGATCTTATTACTTGTTTTATCTCTTCACCACTGAATCAATGAAGAAAAACCTCCTTTTGAGATTGTCATGGTATGGAGAAAATAGGACGAGTCACTTAACAAAAGTTAAGAATAAATTTCGAATAGATTTCAAGACGTTATTTTCTTTTTAAATATTAAATTCAGTACCGAAGATGGTTTCTGAAAAATGTTCCTGAATGTAAGAGTAGTAACAATTTTCGTCTGCATACGAGTTCTGTATCTCTGGAAATTCCTCTACACTGAGAGAAAAATGAACAAGTTCTTAAACAAGTCTGTTGGCCCAGTAAAATCGTTAGTTGAAAATTACCAAAAAAATAATTGTCTGGTTCGAATTTGAAAGTCAAAAAAAAGAATAAGTGCTCTGCTTTCAACAGCAACGAAATATTTGGCCCAAGAAGTGTATCATTCATACAAGACAGCCTTTTCAGGATAAAAATATCTTTTATTGAGGAAAATTTATCAAGAAATATTTTGTCCCCAAGTTACAACATTGTTGTAATATCATTATTACTATTTCATTTAAAAATTCATTTTTTGCCTGTGATTATTGAATAGCCGAAACGACGAACTACTATCCCTCGTTTCATATAAAACGAACATTTTGCAGCAGCAAAATACGTATGAGAGCATCGAATAACGAAGAAGTAGTGCTAGAAATTACATTTCTCGCTTGCACAGAGAATTTTTTTTTTTTGAAAAGACTCAATCTATTTTTGCAGTAAAAATTTCTAATCTTGGCGCACGCTTCGCATGTTTGCCACAAAAAACTCCTTTTTTGCTTCCGAAAGCCTTGTTTTTGACCGATTTTTCAATTTTTTACTGTTGATTGCAAATGGCCTAGAATATTATGAAACGTGAAGAAATGATGTTTTTAGGGTCATGTTTGTATGTATGTATCCACCAACTTGGGTTTTTGGTGATTAATTTTTAGAAACTTCAACATAAATACGGTGAAATTTGTAGATAAAAATATGAAATTTTGGCTCATTGTAGCTATTATTGATCTCAACTCTGGCGCGCTATTTCAGCTCAATCGGTCGGGAAGTTCCTGAGATATAACAACTTGTTTAAATTTCGTTTTTCCTCAATATCTCAAAAACTCCTGCACCGATTCCAAATTTTTGTTTTCAAAATACTCGTCTCGATAGCTTCTATGTAGGTCAATCAGAATATATAGACTCTTTAACACACAGTTTGGAGATATTGCCGTTTCTCCATTTTTCATGAAGAATTTTGTACACACGATAACTTGAGAAAAAATGGGAATAGCAAGTTGAAATTTGGTATGATTTAGCTCTTACAATTCTGAAGGGTGGTACTTTGAACAGGCGCAACCGGCCGAGCAGTTTCGGAGATATTTAACCTTTTGTGTAAATCGTTTTCACTAAAAAGTTGAATATTTTCCTGTAGACATCCTGTAGCATGCGATCCATTCGGAAGCTTACTACCAATGGAATTGGTAGAAATAAAAAAAGAAAGAGACTAATGACGCAAAAAGTAACGGTTACATGCCTTCTGTCGGATACGCTCAAACCCCTGCTTGTTTAGCAAACAAACTCTCTTGTTTTTCTCTCAGTGTATCGTCATAATATAGTAAAATTGATTCATTCCATTTCATCCTCTTACAACTCAATTAATGAAAATTATCCATTCAAGTGAAACGTGACAAAGACAATAACAATTTCAGTGCCGATGATGCAACACCGAGCTCCAGACATAGCATCCCAGATGCAGGTGGCAGCAGCAACTGGTCAGCCACTTCTGGCACCGGGCCCTCTGCACCCATCGTTCCAGGTGCCTTACCCAGGTCAACCCGCGTATCAACAGATGGTGCGAATGGTCCCACCACCACCCCACATGGCAACACCACACCCCCACTATCACGAGTCACCTGGACCCCAAAACCCCGGAATACAGTACATTGGTCCTCATGGACATCCCCATCCCCACGTTGGACAGCAACAACCAAGTCAGACTCAGTCACCAGCGAATCCAAATCCACCACATACGCCTGGTGCATATAATCCACCTGGTACTCCACAGCCATCATATCCACAACCGCCGCCCCAAGGACATGCACCAAGTTATCCAATAATGTGTCCACTTATTCCACCCCATCATCTAGGAATTCCACCGCAGCACATGCAGTATCTGCAGCCCCAACCACCACCTGGTGCTCAACAGACTATACCAGTCATTCTACCCCACAATCAGTAGCCGAGACGGAAATCGAGAAGATAGAGTCGTTGGTATTTTTCTTCACTTGATAAAACAAAGGAAACAAATTATTAATGACTAAAACTCATCATGTAAAAACATTTGTTCATCAAGAACGAGATGAGGATTAAGGATGGAGCTAATTAACTTGATCAATCATTCTGTTATTTTTTCTTTTTTCAGCAGTTCTTATTCTTAAATATGATAAGTGAAAATGCAATCATGTTCACGACACTCGGTAAATAATTTGCTTTTCTTGGAAAAATGGAATAACTTCATTCCTCTCCTAACAATCGCCATAATTATGCTCAATTACTGTACCTTTATATTTGTTTCCAATGGGTACTGAGCCTTGTGGCGGTGTATTCCATTCTTATTCACTCATCTTGGATAGATCGGAGATTCGGTGATGAACAATCAAGACGAGAAATTGTTGGATCATCATGTTGCGTACGGTGACTCCTGACAATTACGAATCTATTCTCTCGATAGGATAATATAAAGAAAAATATCGTGAAAACCCAATGGAACTCACAAGCAGTCATCAATGATTGCTTGACTAGCCATCCGTACGATTTGGGTTTTTTAAATAGACTTTGCAAGATAAGGTAGAAACAACAATTATTTACCATAGTTAATCCATTAATGAGAACCAAGGGATAATTTTTATCATCAATCGACAGTTATTTTGAATTAAAATTTATTTGAAATGTGAGTCACTTGAATTCTACATGGCTCTAATAACTAAAAATTTATTTTACTGAAGATCGTCTCAGTTTCAACAAAAAATTCTATATAAAAAAAATATCAGAATAAATGAAGAAAATATATGAAATTGATGACTACGATCTGTTCACAGTAACCATTATCAATCTTAATCGATTTATGATGCAGCTGTAAGCTCAAGTAGATTCACCCGGATTATCATGTAGACCCGCTGCGCTCTGTAGTTTGAAAACATTTTACAAAAATTAATCGTAAAAGAAGGCACCCAAAGGTAAACGAGGAAAAAAAACGCTACGACTTTTGTAATAAATCGAACCATCCAAATGTTCGAATTTTATATCTTGAATCGGCGTCAATGTAGTGTAACAAATAATATTAAAACACGAATACGAATATCGAAATTGTTGGAATGTTCTACGATGTTGGAGGAGAGAAAAGAGGTGCTTAGTATATTTTTTTCTCGCACCGGAGAATGTCTAATTTGGGGGGACGCCTGGAACATTCAAATTGTCGAATAAAAATTCGATGAGATTGCAGGCAATGAACTGCACTGACATGCGAAGCAGGCGCTCCGTTAATCTCTTGATGTTGAGATTCTTTTTATTTCTCTTGTAATTGAAAACAATGACACGAAAACACTCAGGTAGTGACTATCGATTTCATTACATTTATTTGCGATAGATTTCCCGTGAATTGAATGAACGTGACTTTGGGCATTCATCATATGAGGGAAATTATCAGTTATTTGCCTGTCAAGGTGTTAATGAAGTTATTAAGATCCTGAAGAGAGTAATATAAAATGAAATTGAATTAACAAAAAAATGGAGTTCTTGGGGAGACGTGTTCATACATTTTGGAGGTGATTTAAATCAAGTATTGTGAACCATAAAAGTCTGATGGAAATCGCAATGAGTTAAAGTAGGGCAACTTATTTGAAAATGAACATTAGGCGTGAGGGTAAAAACAAAATTAGGAATCGAAGTGAATATGGGAATGACAATTAAAAAAAAAGAAAAATAAAACTGCCTGTGAATGACAGCTGAGAATTGAGATAGCGTGAGAAATTGATGTGTATGGGGGAAATTGTCACGTTGTAATGAGAGAGAGAGAGAGAGAGGAAGAAATGTGCGAGGATGACAGATGTAGAGAGAGGGAGAGAGTGAGCGAAAGGAATATTGCAAGAATGACAGTTGTGAGAGCTTTTAAAAAATGCTGGGAAAGTGCTAAATGGAATTTCTTCTTCACGAGTTCGAGACGTGGCATTGTTGGACACAAATTTTATATCTGAAAGATTAACGAAATACGAATGGAACATCAAAATAAAGGGAATGAGAAGAATACTTGGAATTTTTTACCTTTTTTTCAATTTTACACTCCTTTTTGCTTCCGAATGGAAGCTTTGTAATCGTTCAAATTGCAGTTTTAGATTTTTTGTGTTACAATGTTTTTCTTCAATTGTTCGCTAATGACTGGATGGACATGAATTTTTTTTTTCAAATGTAGGTATTGTTGAGCCCTATCAATTGCCATTAATTAAATTTCAATTGATTAGTTTTTAAAATTTTTTAATTTTTTCGACATTTGATTGTCGAAAAAAATCAAAAATTTAATTTGAGGAATTTCTCTTCTAAAATTAAGTAAGGAGTTTTCGAACACCAAAAAGGAAGCATCCGTGAGAGCAAGCAAACAAAATAGACTTTCAACGAATAAACATTGAAATAAACCCATTGTAGGTTAATACATAAATAAAAAAAAAAACACATGAAATATTAGCCAGACTAACAGAAGATTGATAGACACATGATCATTTTATCCGTTCGTAATCTGTAAATCGAAAAATGTCGGTAAAGAACAGTATTCAACAGTTGTTGTATTTCAATGAAATTGTAATTTAAATAAGGAGGTGTTGTTCTCGTTCGAGAGGAAGTTTATTACTGACTACTGGAGGAGGGATTCTTATAAGCCTTAGAAGAATCTAAGGGCAAAACCTTAGAAAAATAGCGGATTTTATGAAAATTGAGGAGTGAGAGTTAAATCGCGGTTGCGACTTAATTGCTTTATTGCGCTTTCAAAGGAAATGCGGATTTGTTTGATTAGGATGGGGACTGGATTTGGGACCTTGGGAGGTCTTAAGTTTGTAGATAAATAAGTGAGAATATTTAGTTGTTCAAACAACAAAATAATGTGGGTATGCAACACACTTATGCATCAATATTTTCCCATTTAAATAGTGCCTTCAATAATGTTGATAAAGAAGATCGCGCATCTACAACTATAGAGAAAGTACACACGTGCACGCACGTGGGTGAATGTCAAACATCATAACCTCTACTCAACACAGGCATGGATTGTGCACGAAGATGACAAAAAATAACAGTAATAGCATGGAAAAACAAAAATGGACAGATTTGCAAGTCAAACTGAGTGATTCTATTCTGAATACACTCAAAGAATTGAAATTCACCTCTCCAACACCAATTCAAGTAAATTCATTGATATTTAATTATTTATCTTATTTATTTATATATTTGTTTATTCAAGTCAAGACAGTCGAGGCCAATTACTATCCAATAGATAATACTATTCAAATGAAGAATTCGCCAAAATATTGAGAACTACCTGAAGATTATTTTCTTCAGATTAATTTTTCAATTTGCAGACAGCATGTATCCCAATTTTATTGAATGGAAAAGATGTTGCAGCCGAGGCAGTAACTGGCAGTGGCAAGACTCTAGCATTTTTGATTCCCTTATTGGCGCTCTTACAGGTACCGAATGACTATTTCCTACTTAGTGTTTGTTATTGTAATTTTTCGAAATACAGTGAGGAAAAAAATAATTTTTGCCAAATGTCTATTTACTTCAGAGCAGTATTTATTTTTTCAATACCGTATTTCTTCAGCCAAATCATTTCCAAGGCAATTCTCATTAGGTTTCAATTATGAGAATTTTATTACTCTAGAAGATGATCATGTTAGTTATGACCTTGAGTGAACTCCCTCAATTATTATAAACATTAAAAAATTAATCGAAATTCGTCCCTGTAGAAAATGAAAAATTTAGGAAAAATTAATTATCATTGGGAGAGTTCATCCAAGATCATGTTTAATATAGTCATCTGCTAGAGCAACATGATTGTCATAATTGAAACCCAATCAGGCTCGCTTGGGAATGACTCGATTGGAGAAATACGATTTTAAAAAAATAAATGCTTCTCTCAAGTAAATGAATATTTGGCAAGAATAATTTTTTTCTCAGTGCACCGCTTGATTGTTGGTATTAACCCCTTTTCTGTTGTTTATGTTCAATTTATTACTAAAATTTTTTCTTCTCGTATACCCTTTCGGGTCTTCACGATTTGTTCCCTTCCCACTCCCCAATCCCCTGTAGCGCATTCGCCGAAGGACAAGGGAAAACCTCATTTGAGGGAAAAACCTGCCCAGGTACAGTCGTCTCTTGCGAGACTCCCGCTCGACAATAAAACCGTGAGATTTTTAGAGTGTCACAAATTTTTCGCCCCCCCCCCCCCCCCCCCCCNAATCCCACACTCCAACCACACAGCCACCGCCGTCGGTCAATTTAATACTATTAACTATGTCTTCATTCATCGACATCTCCTAATAAAACAAGGGTATTTCAATTTTCTTTTTAAAACAAGGGTATCTCAAAATTCATGTGAAAAATCGTCTAAAATCTTACGTTTTCCTTCCCTTGGCAGCTGTATAAATGGTATGAATGCATCAAAAAGTACAAATAACATGAAGTAATTCGCAGTGGAAGAGAAATAAAATGATTTGAGAGCTCCGTGAGACTTAGAAATGGATGCGAACAACAAGTTTTCACATGAATTTTGAGACATCGTAATCTTAATGCGAATTTTGAGATACCCTTGTTTTAAAAAGAAAATTGAAATACCCTTGTTTTATTAGACGTCGACATAACTGGTTTAATTATTAACGAGACTAAACATTAATCGAATCATGAGCCTGATGAAGCTAAAATAATTAGCGAAACGTCGCTACGTGACAATTAGATAAATGTTTTTGTTTTTTCCAACATGCCCTTGATATTCTTGTCTACTGAGGTGAATAGGTGCCAATTCCTGATCGTTTAAGGGAAATTCGAGTTTCGTGGTAGGATCTGAAATAGAAGAATGACCTAAACGGGAATATAATGGCTTCCGTACCTTCGAGAATATTTTAATCACTAAAAAAAATTATAAGACGACAAAATAAGAAAACAAAATAATTAAATTAAAAAATGGTTAAATGCAACCGAAGCCCCTATTTTCTGGACGACTGGGTGATATTTTTTTTATTTACTAAAAGTCGATCAATAGAATAAATAATTGATCACATGATTATACGCGAGTAATATTATTGAAAAATGAAATAATCAGTTATCACAATTTGGATTTTATTATTTACGGAATATTCAATGGAAGTAGAAATCGTAACCCCCGTCCAGAAACTGACCTGTTTACCTTATTTGCAATATTCGAGAAAAAAAATACAAGAAATTGATATCTTGCACTTTAAACAATAAAAAAAAATGATATCTTTCTCAATTTCAGAGGAGAGAAGACGAATGGAAGAAAATTGAAATTGGAGGGATAATAATATCTCCGACGAGAGAACTAGCCACACAGATTAGTGAAGTTTTAGAAAAATTCCTAAAAAAAACAACGTTGAAACAAGTACTTCTGGTCGGTGGTACTACACTGAAGGAAGACATAATGAGATTGAAGAAGGGAGTGAATATCATCGTTGCAACGCCTGGCAGACTGGATGATGTGCTCACCAATTGTAAAGATGTCAATTTAGTGGGGAGCGTTAAATCACTGGTAAATTATTATTTTTAACGAAATTTGATGCATGTTCCAAGGAACTCGCAACTGGCCATCACCCGGGGGCCTTCAGCCAATCACTGGTAAACTTAGCATCTTTATTGTCAGTCAATCAATCAATTTATTCAATGCTAAAGATATACAATCGCGTGTACAGAGGAGTCTGGTGGGCTTTTTGCATTATTGTTATAGTAAAAACCTTGAGGGGGGAAACCACATTGGGAGGCTTGTTTTTATGCTTTTTTAATGAATTTCTTTGAAGGGGAAGAAATGATTCGAATTAATTCAAACTGCGAGGTCATTTTATTCACATTTCAAACTATATCCCAGAATTTTTCCAAGTATTTTTCATGGAAAATTTCAAAGTTATAAACTGCTGTTCATAGAGGTCCGTCATCATATGTTTTTTTATTAATTGAATCAACTTTCAACTAAAAATATTGAAAATTTAGAGGCGTTTGAAAACAAAATTCAACTTTTCCAGAGGTGTGCGAACAGCTCTCAAACCAAACTGAACCGAATTGTGCTATTCGGTTAGCTCACACCATTGAGAATGCCCTGAAGTGACCAAAAACATTGAAAATTCTCCACATTGTACCCGCTTTCCCCATCTCGATAGTAGATATTTTCTTTTATTTTCTTTGTTGAAGTGACGTTTTTCACGGAAAAATTCAAGAAACAAAGTGGTTAGTAGCTTCGTTATATCCGAAAATAGATTTCTTTGGTTCGATTTTTTTTCTTTTTTCCGCTTCACCCCATTCTTTGTGATCTCAAAAGCTTTGATAAGTAGACAATTCCTTCGCGAATAAAAATATTTGGAGACCGGAAAAAGTTGGTATGGAAGACAGAAAATGAAAACGAAAAAAAAAGTTGAGGGAAATTTCATTTTTGGATGCAAAAAAAGAAAAAAAATTGCCGTTGAGGTACGACAAGGGGGTACAGCGCGAGATTTTCAACTTTTTTTGCGATTTTGGCACATTTCTGATGGAGTGAGGTAATTAAAACCATGTTAAATCGAGAGCATGAAAAATTTCCATCGGATATTCCTAGTCAAACTCAAAAATGTTTTTTTATCTCCCAAAAGCCAAATCTTTCCAAAAATTTAAAAATCTAAATAATTCACCTGTTGTGAATGGAAATTAAAAAAAAATTGGACAACAATTTCCCTAGATCTCTCAACTGTTCAGTAGCGAAGCCCTAAAATGGTTTAAATCATTTTTGACTCTTGGTCATTTTTCAATGAACAGCTCGGAATCTGAGGTAGGTATCAAAATTTTTGCCATAACCTTTTTTGTAGGGAAAAGTAAGAGCTACACAAAAGCTTTTCACTTACATTTGTCGTTTAGTCATGGGAACAAGTTTGAGAACCACAAAGTTCGAATTTTTCGAACGAATATTCGAATTTTGAACAATTCGGTTCAATGTTCCAAGCGAACAATAGTATTCCGTTCGACTCGAATAGTTCGTCACTTTGAACAGTTCGTATACCCCTAAAAATTATTCACCATTGATAATTTCTTGCATTAATTCTGACTTCGACGAGAGTAACAAATTAATTCATCAAATTCGCTCTACAATTATTTTTTTTAACAGTAGTTGTTCATTCGACTAGGGTATCATATACATTTGGAATACCCAGAAATATAAATTATTTATCACAAAAGGTTGATACTAACGATAAGTTTCGTATTAAGCATAAAATTTTTATTTATTTATTTTCTATTTTTTAAAGATTTTTTTTACATTTTAATCTTCTCTCTAATCTCGAAATTTTTTTTCTCATAAGAAGCTGTGTTATTTTGCCACTCCTGAATTAATTATTAGCAATAACACTAGACTGCCAATTGCGTGCGAACTCAACCAGAATGTTTTTTTCATACCAACGTCTGTTTAGAATTTATTTCAGATTTTCATCTTCAGAATCTTAAATATAATAAATCTGTTGCCCATTCTTTGGCCGCGATTTACGCAAAAACGATTAAATGGATGTCAATGGTATTTTTGCTTCCGAATGGAAGCTTTGTAATCGTTCAAAATTAAGTTTCCAATTTTTTTGTATCAGGGTAACTAAATATGGCCTAAAAAGTCTAAATATGCGATTTTTAGATGGTGTCTGTATGTATGTATGTGTGTGTACTTTTTTCAATGTTTTTTTCGCAATTTTCTTTATAGGAGTTTGATGAAATTTCATGAATTTTTCCATGGATATAATTTTTTCATGGATATAGACGTTAATAAAGTTGAATTATTCATAGAGTTTGTGAAATATTGGTATTAAAAAAACGATTTTTCGACGCTCATTCCAAGAATTGTTATCAGAATGAAATGAATCATGGCTTGAAAAATTTGTATTGATAATCTCTTGATTCTGTCAGAACATGATGCGGATCGCATCTTTAGATGCATTGATATATCACTGTTGAGCTACAGCATATAGTTTGTAAGATTTTAATTTTTTTAAATTTTTTTCATGATAAACTGGAAAAATTAACAGTCATATATTATCAATGAGATCATGCCTCAAAAAGATTGTTTTGGTGCTTTCTCGATGAAGTGCAAAGATGATGAAAACAGCAAAACCATTTATTAAGTTGCATAGTAGCAATATGACGGGTTAGATCATATGCCGGTTATATATGGGGTAAAAGGGGTCATATAAAAGTTGTACGGGGCCATATGCGGGTTATATGAGGTCATTTGGAAGGTATCTGAGGTCATATGGTGTCATAATGGGCTCATGTGGGGTTATATGAAGTGATAAGGGTTCATATGAGGTTCATATAGGGGTTGTATGAGGTCATATTGGAGTAATATAGCATTATATGGGGTTATCTGGAGGTCATATAGAGTCATATGGAGTCATATATAGGCGTTAAATGAGAGTAATATGGTGTTATGGAGTCATATAAGGATCGCATCAGCTCATACAAGAGTCATATGGGGGTCAGACGGGATTATATGAAGTGATATGCAGTCATGTCGGCTTATATATAGGGTCATGTGGGGCCACATAGATGTCACATGGAGCCAGATGGGGTCATATGGGGGTTCTATGGGTCCATAAAAGGGTAATATATGGATCATAAGAGAGTCATATGGGTGTCACTATTCAAAACAATAAAAAATAAGAGTAATAAATTTCAAAAATCGAGAATTCATTCGGACGCATAGTGCTAATTTGTTAGTAACATATAGTACAACCCATATACAGAAAATGCGATTATCCGCTTGTTACTATTGCATAGTTTAGGGTCCCCAATCAGCTTTAGGCTATAAGTTATTGCGATACAAGTTGTTACGGTGCCTAGTTTAATATGCAACTTACTAGTAGAGCTTTCTGGAAATTTCTAGAATACTTTAGAATTTTCGCGAATATTTTTGAGATTTCTACAAAGTTTGAGGATATTCTCGTGTTTTGTAGAATGTTCGAAAATATTCTCGGGTTTTCTAATAAATTTTTTTTTGTTCCAATTAAGCAATTTAATTTTAGATTCTAATTAACTAGATGAGTGGGTCGGCTTCGCCCAGGCAGAAGAAGAAAAAATGAAATACCAGGATTTTTGAAAATTCCTGCAATTAAAAAAACACCTCAATGATTCCGTTTTTTCTAGAACACCCGAGAAGTCAAGAAAATTTGAGGGTTTTCCAAAGAAATTAAGAAAATTTTTGGTTGTTTTTCTCAATTGCAGGAATTTTCAAAAATCTCGGTACTTAATTTTTTTTCTTCTGCCCAGGCGAACCCGGGCCACACAGTTATTTAAAGTTATGTTTATACTACTTCAAATTCCAAAAATTACTATTTAATTAGTTCGTAAATTGTTTTCATTAGCAATTCAAAATTTCATGAACGTATTCAAAACGCAAAAATCTCAAACCTGAATTCTTCTCAAAATTTTCGTTGCACGAAGAGAAATATTCAGTAAAAATGATGGAACAATTCACGTAATCCGCAATGGCGAATCGCTTTCCGGCAATTTTTATAAGAATAGAAGAGAAGAAATCTGAAACTCTCAGTGAATTTTCAGGTTCATCACCGAATAAAGTACGAAATTGTCACGTCATTTTTCCCGAAGAAGTAAAATCTTACAGAAACTTCCCGACTTATTATGCCTCCAAAATAAAAAATTCTTGAACGTTCAACAATTTTTATGAAGCTGGTGAGTTTATTTCTACGTTCCGTTCCATAAAATTTCTCAATCGTTAGGGAAAAATTACGGAACGACTTGTTGTCGCCACAGCGGTGAGTTATCAGACGGGTGGTTAATTTTTACAAAATAAATCGTAGAATTTACGTGGCGATTCGTACAATTTTAATTCCGACTCACACTTTTTATTGAATTTTACTTCGCTCGCGGACTACGTTTCGAAACGTAATTTTTACGTTTTTTTCTGGTAATTTGTATTGAATTTTTCTCTCCGAGTGCAATGATAACATCCACAAACAACTAATGTCAATGAATATCGTTCTGCTTCAGGAACTTCTAATTTTAGACGAAGCAGATCGACTCCTCGACCTAGGCTTCTCCGCAACCCTAAACTCAATCTTCAGTTACCTCCCCAGACTGAGAAGAACAGGCTTATTCTCAGCCACCCAAACGAAAGAAGTCCAGCAGTTGATACGAGCTGGTTTGAGAAATCCAACTCTGGTGTCCATCAAAGAGAAATCAAGTGTCTCAACCCCTCTCTTACTCAGCAACTATTACACGATCATCAATGCTGAGGGGAAGCTAGCATCTCTCATTCATTTCATAAACTCCAAAGGCACAAATCTCAAGTACATGATCTTCTTCTCAACATGTGCCTGCGTGGACTATTTCAGTCACGTCATTGACACCATGTTGCCTTCAGCAAAAGTCCTCGCACTCCACGGAAAGATGAAGGGAAAACGTCACAAGATATTCGATGAATTTCGTCAGATAGACAGTGGCATTCTAGTATGCACGGACGTAATGGCCCGTGGGATTGACATACCAGAGGTCGACTGGGTGCTCCAGTATGATCCACCAGCGACAGCCAGTAGCTTCGTGCATCGTTGTGGGAGAACTGCTCGCATCGGCAACGAAGGCAATGCGCTACTATTTCTTTTAGAAACAGAGGATGCATACATTGATTTCATAAAACGAAATCAAAAAGTCGAGATGGGAGAAATGGTTGTGAAAGTCGACGACAATTTCATCGAAAAGTGTCTCAAATGCATGAGGAATATCCAGACAAAGGATCGTCTACTATTCGATAAAGCAAATCGTGCATTCGTCTCCTACATTCAATCCTACAACAAACACGAATGTAACTTGATTCTGCGATTGAAAGATTTACATTTTGGAAGTGTGGCCATGTCCTTTGGACTCCTCCAGTTACCAAAAATGCCGGAGTTAAAGGGACGTGATGTTGCGAATTTTCACGGAGCCAATGTAGACATTAACAAGATAGCTTACAAAGACAAACAGCGTGAGCAAAAACGCCTTGAAAAACTCAATATTTATCTTGATACTGGGATCTGGCCGAGCAAGGATAAACGCCGGGCCAAACAGACTGAGCCTTGGTCCGAGGCAAAAAAGAAAAAACTCGAGAGGCAGGAGAAGAAAGGTAAAAAAAGGGAGAAGAGAAATAAACGAATTGAGGCTGGTAATGCAAAACCTGTTAAGAAAAAGAGAAAAGCTACAGAGGAGGATATCGAGGAGCTTGCGAGGGACATTGCCTTGATAAAAAAATTGAAGAAGAAAAAGGTAATCTTTATGTTCAACTTATTTATTCAGCCGACTTGCGATAAGATTACAGTGTTTTCATAATTGATAAATTGCGTGAATTTCCTACGTTGCAGATATCACAAGAGGAGTTTGACGAAGAGTTTGGTGTGTAAAATCGTTTTTCTTTACTTTGTTGTTGTACTAGTTTATTTGATTTTAGATTATTTCCATTTCCGTCTTCACAATTACATTAATTTAATTTTATCCAATCTTATTCTTATTATATACATTTTTTCTTTAATTGACAAGTTACAACATTGAATGAAGAAGAATTATGTTAAAAATCAATAAAAAATGTTTCTTTTGAGATTAAAGCAAATACAAAACAATAGAAAAATCTCTCCATGTATTCCTGAAAATTTTAAAAATGTATTTTTACTTTCATGTGGTAAAATGATATTGGCACTTCTCATTCCTATGGTCGGATTCCAATCACTATTATGAAAAGGAAATGAAAAAAGAATCAAAAGATATTTTTTCTCCTTTTATATCATCCGGAACTTTTTTTTTTTTTTTTTGTTTAAAGTGCTCAAATCTACATGATTTATTTACACTATGGGTTGAGTTTTAGTCTATATGTTAACATATTTTTACAGTTGTGGTTCTAGATATTTTGTCCAGTGTTTACAATAAATTTGTGTATACTTCGGAGTACTCTCGAATTTGTTGATTTCAACAATGGAGTAATCGAATTTGAGATCGGAATTTTAAGCCGCTTCAATTCTCTTATTAGTGTTAGCCTCTCTTTGCTTAAGTTGGGGCAATACCACAGAATGTGGTCTATATCTTGAGTTTCATACCCACATGGGCAGCTCGGATCATCAATTATGTTGACTCTGTGTAGAGAGGCCTTCAGGTGGTAATGGTTGGCCCTGACTCTGTTTACCCATGAAATCAGGGATCTTGGGTGTTTAGTACCTTTATACCATGGCTTGAAAGTCTCTCTATAGTAGTTTTCAACATATTCAACCCCTTTCCGTTTAACCTCAGCCTGGTATCTTATTTCTCTGATCGTATTTTGCTTTTCAACATACTTGAATTTCGACCTGAGGTCAGTGTGGGGAACTAAGTATTCAATGTCATTATATTGTGATGCTTCTTTAGCTAATTTATCAACCTCTTCATTCCCTATGATTCCTTTGTGGGCAGGAATCCAGAAAAAAGCTAGAGAGGTATCAAATTCATTGTTGTTGTTAAATTCCATATATTTTGATTTTATTTGTAATAGATATGAATGTCTTGGGATCTAGTTTTGTCGATTCAAGGCTCTGAAGGGCGCTCAGTGAGTCCGAGAGAATGAGGAAGTTGTGGTCTTTGTGTTGGGTAGCTAAATCGAGGGCCATATTGAGTGCGACACATTCTGAAGTGAAGACTGAACTGTCACAGTGGAGTTGTACTGCCCGGCTCTGTTCCAGATTGGGACAGTAGCAGGCCGCCCCCACATGGCCAGTGTCTGGGTCCTTACTTCCGTCCGTGTACACGCAATACGTCCCCGGGTTCGCTTGGATTATTTCTATATTTACAGTTTCATTTGGATTTTCAGAGGATTGGGCTTTAAGTCCAATTTCTCTGTTAACATTTATGGAGAGTGTCGATACATCATATTCGTTCTTGAAAACATTAAAGTGGTTGTTTGTGTACATAACATTTACTTCTTGTAGTATTTCCCTGATGTTTTTGGTCAACATTTTGTCTCTAGCTCTAGGTTTGATTTTTTTAATTGTGAACAGAAAGTTTATGGTTTTCGCAATGAGGGTAGAAGAGTTTGAGATGACTTTCGTAAGATAAGATTTACAAAGGAAATTCGCTCTGTCCTTGATGTATGTCAGTTTTGATTCTTCCATGATAACATTTATGGGCGTAGATCGGCGATATCCTAACGCAAATCTGATTGCTGAGTTCTGTATGTCATCTAATTTGGAGTTAGAAGATTTATTGTTGGAGTAATAAACAAACATTCCGTAATCCATAATCGATCGCACGAAGCTTTTGTAAAAGATAATTAATGTTTCGGGGTCTGTGCCCCACCATGTACGCCTGAGATATTTTATAATGTTGAGAGACTTTAAACATTTTTCCTGTATTTTGCCTATGTGAAATTTGAAATTAAGTTTTTGGTCAAAGTGGATATCTAGGAACCTGGCGTGAGGGCTAGATATAATTTCGTGTGAGTCTATTTTGATTCTTGTTTGGGCAGGGTCTGACCCTTTCTTGCTAAATCGGACAAGAACAGTTTTTTCTGGAGCTAGTGATAAGCCAAGGTTGTTCAGATTATTCAAAATTGTTTCTATAGCTGATTCTAAGGTCTGGAGGTTGGGCTGTTTGTTTGAGGATTTCGTGAAAAGGGCAATGTCATCTGCGAACAGGTATAGACTGACCCTTTCATCTATATCTTTTTGGATTAGTCTGGTGTATAGTGTATATATTAGGGGTGAGAGCACGCCTCCTTGAGGAACTCCTTTCCTAACTTTTCTAATTTCCTCGCCAAGCGAATCTGCATGAATAAATCTTTCATATGTGAGGAACTTTATGTACCTAAGTATATTGGTTGGACATTCAGCTGTCTTGAGATCTTGAATGAGGATATCGCCATTAACATTGTCGAATGCCCCCTGTACATCCAGAAAGGCTGCGATCGTGTGTTCGCCATCTCTGAAACTATCCTCAATGTTGAGGATTAGGTTGGAGAGATTGTCTCGACACGAAAGTCCTGGGCGGAATCCAGTCTGGAATTCCGGGAGCATTCCATGGAATTCAGACCACCACTGAAGCCTATTTTTCAACATTGTTTCAAAAAGTTTTGTTACGCAGGATGTGAGTGCTATTGGCCGGACATTATCGCTTTTCGGTTTAGAAGCGAAATGGATGTATGAATGCATCCACTCTGTCGGGAAATCACCGGAAAGAAATAGTTCGTTGAAAATATCTAGCAATATTAGTTTCAATTTGTCTGGAAGGGTTTTAAGGAGATGGTAGTCTATGCCATCCATCCCTGGCGCGGAACTATTCTTTTTAGTTTTAAGAGCTGACGTGAATTCAACATAGTCAAATTGTTGATCTAAGATAGATGAATTTGGGGGAAGATTCGAATTATGTTCTGGATTATTAGAACAGCCAGGTGGGGCGATTTTTTGAATAGAGTTATTTATGGATACTAGGGTTTTTTCGGCGTTTTTAACTCTGGAATGCTTAATGTTAATCCACGATTTTTTTTAAATTTTGCACGTATTCCAGACATACGTTAAATTTGTTCTGGAGTCAATTCCTGTGGCGAACTTGATGAAACTGTCTTTTTTCTTAGTTTTGAATGTCTTTCTGGCAATTGCTACAGCTTTCTTATATGCTGTACGGTGTTTCAGTTCTTTAGTACATTTCCATTTTTTATACGCTGCTTTCCTGAGTCTCTTTACTCGATCACAGTCCTGATCCCACCATTTAACGGGGTTTCGGTGAATCGCAGCAGGGACTTTTTTCCTTTCCGGGGTACATTTTTTAACGCAGTTCGTTAAGTTTCTAATAAAAAACGAGTATTTTTCGGTGGGGCTAAGTAGGTCAAAACTGGGATCGAGAAATGAGAACCACGAATCTTTTAATATTTTACCTAATTCAATCCAGTCGGTTCTGGTTGATGTAATTTTAAATGATTCTCGGTGGTAGATTGATGTACTCACTCCGATGTCGATGAAAATTGGGTAGTGGTCCGAACCCCATGTTTCATCCAGGACTGAAACGGTGGTGAGGTCGGCGATGTCCGGCGTAGTGAGGACGAGGTCTATGTTGGATTTCTTTTGTCGGTAGATGTCTAGGTGGGTGAGCGAGTCCGGATTGTGGAGGAATAGGTTTTCAGCTTGGATACACTCAAAAAGTTTCTTCCCATTGGAGTTGGTTTTTTCGCAGTTCCACGAAACGTGATGGGCGTTGAAGTCGCCTATCAACAAGCAGTTATTATGCTGACTGGCAGCACTGGCGATTTTCTCCCAGTATTTCATGTGTAGAGTACCCTCCCCTGGGTGTCGATAACAGACGTAAACATTAAGCTTTGGGTTAACATTTGTTACTCTGAAGCCGCACATTTCAATTTCTGGATTATTCAGGTTTGCATCTTCCAGGAACTGTATTGTTAAATTTTTCCGTAGGATAATAGCAATCCCTCCTGTTTTTGCAGCTTTGTCTTTCCTGATTGTTTCGAATCCGGGAATATTATATGCCTTGCAGTCAAGGGGGTTCAAATGGGTTTCAACACATAAAATAATGTCAGCTTCGACTGAAGCTGAGATGAGATCTTCGTAATGAGCTTGAAGGCCTCGAACATTCCAGAATAATATTCTGAGATCTTTCGAAGACTTTTTGTGTTGATTTTGCGTTGTATTAGCCATTTTTGGTTTTAAATGGAAGTATCTGAGTCCACATCAGGGTTAGTGAGCCGGTTCTTGAACTTTGTGATGAAAGATTTTATAGTGGAGTCCTCAAGGTGATAATATACTTCATTGAGGAACTTGGCTATGATGGATAGATCCTCTGGGTATTCACCCCTGAAGATGACTGGGTTCTTTTCTACTTGCCAAAAGAGAATCATTTTAATAAAACCATCGTAATTCCAATCATAAAGTTCTGGGTGAGAGTTCATTTGTGATTCAAGTCGTTGAGTGTTGTCACGTAGAAATTCTTCAGTGTACTGTTTACCTTTAGGTTTTTGTACTTTTTCTTGGCTGTTACTACGAGTTTTCTGTTTCTTCTTGCTGCTCCTTCTATTCAACCTGGGAAAAGCAAATCCATCGTCTTCTCCATTCTCTGAGACATTACCTATTCCTTTTTGAGTAGGTCGTCGATTTGTGATTCCAGACATGGTTTCTTGAAGGGGGATTGGGAGGGAAGTTCGGGGGTGATAGGGGAATCTCGTGGTTTTTTGTTGTTGGAGATGGTGTTTACGTTTGTGGACAATTGAGAGGGGATCGTGTTGATAGGGAGTGAGGGGGGTCTGGACAATTTTTCTCCTGTCGTTTCTGTTTCCATAGAGCTGTCTTCGGTATTGGATTTGTTGTTGTTATCGGGATTAACGTCACTCTGTTCGTGGCTGTTGGCGGTAGGTGGTGGGCTCGGTGAAGCTGTCGCAGTCGGGATTTTCTCCGGACAATTTTTGGAGTGATGTCCGGTTTTTTTACAGTTGTAACATCCTGGGTCATCTCGAGTGATGTAGAAAAAGTAACTGAAACTCTGAAAGTTGAGTTTCATGACATCAGGAAGTTTCTTTGCATCGTCGTTATCCATAAATGTTTGACGTCTGTGGCTTTCTACATGTGCATACCCAGGGTTCTTCAAACCAGCGTTTAAAATTGTAATCTGTGTTGAAGACTTGATTTTGAGCTCTGCAAGCTTCTTCTCTATCTCAGAGTTGGGGAGTGAAGGGCATACATCGGAGAATATTACACGCTTCTTCTGGGCGACTATCGGTCTAATCTTCAATACCTCATTCCCGATGGATAGGACTGTGTCCTTGTCAGTCAGTTTGCCTACCCATTCTTCTGATGACAGAAACATGACAATTCTATTGCCTGTAGTCTTGTTGATTGTTTTCACGTTTAGAGGTCCAATAAATTCTCCGACACAATAGGCATATTCGGCTCGAGGTACTCCTGGTATTGCATCAATGTAAATTCCACGTCGTTTGGACTGATTTTGTTGTGCCAATGCACCTGCATATGAAGTCATTGGGGCAGCAACACCTTCGTTAGTGTTCATGTTGGGCTTGGTATTTCCTGAGTTCTGTTCGGTAAAGTCAATCGTAGTTGTTTCGTTATCAGCGACAGCTGAATCGATTGGGCTCATTTTTTTTTGTCACACAAAAAAAACACAAAAAATGGAGAGTTTGTCTCAAGATATGTGATGTCTAATTGACATGCAAATCAAGAGAGATATATAAACTTTTGACGCGCACTATTGACACTGTAGATTCTTGATCGGAGCTACTAGTAAACACGTCTTACCCCGACGCTGGTCGGAGCAAGAAGCCTCATCCGGAACTTCAAATCATTTTTTTTCTTCAAGTATTAGAGGGATGTAGATATTTCAGCGAGAAATTTAAAAAAAAAATGCAAAATGTGTGGGCGGGAAGAACGAAAAAAAATTAATTTTTCAATGTTTCCGAAAAGTTTTTAAGGCCTGATTGGATTATCTTTTAAACGTGATCTTGATTGTTTTTTTTATTTCGACAATCTGAAATAATCTCCAATTGCTATTGAGTTTTACATAGCCCGGGAATCTCCAAAAATTATGATTGTACAATCAAAAAAACGCTGAAAAAAAACTGAACATTTTCAAAGAACGTTTTTCAATAATATTGGGAAATAAACCAAATAGGGAGGAAATTGCAAATGACTAATTTGATGTATCTAATGGTTGTTAGGTCGTCATTTGTCGCATTAGTCAATGGCTGTCAGACCGTTAGTTACCATGATAAATTATCCATTCACTATTTCCTCTCTATTGGACTTATTTCCTTAATCTTTACTAAAAACGCTCTTTGAAAATGTTTAGTTTTTTTCTACTTTTTTTTAATTGTACAATCATAATTTTTAGGGACTCCTACGTGATGTAAAATCCACTAGAAATTGTGATATATTTTACAATATGAAGATGGAAAAATAATCGACATAACGTTCGAAAGATTATCCGCTTGGGTCTTAGATGGGTATATTTTTTCGAATAATGAAAGAATAGGTAAGGTCGTTGCTTCACGTGCGCAAGGTTCCAAATTCAAATGCCGGCCGGGTAGAATGGTGAGATCTAACCATTTTAAAGTCTTGATCATCATCTTTGACTCAACCGAGTCAAAGCAATGTAAAATAGCAATAAAAGCAAGCAGGGGTTTGAGCGTATTTGACAGAAGACATTTGACCGTTACTTTTTGCGCTATTATTATCATCATTATTTTTTCTTCTACCAATTCCATTGGTAGTAAGCTTCCGAATGTATTCGTGGCGATTTTCTGTCCCTGCGACAGGCATATATATATATGATTCTTCAACTTTTTGAAGAAATAGTTTTTCATAAAAATTTGAATACTTCCGAAACCGCTCGATGGATTGCGCCCATTCAAAAGACGAACGTTTAATACTATGAGAGCCGTGGTCTTACCACATTTCAACTTGCAGTCATCATTTTTTGTTGCGGTATCGTGCGTACGAAAGTGAAAAAAAAAAAAGAAAAACGATGATATCTCGAAAACTTTGTATGGACGTATGTATATATTTTGATTGATCTAGATAGTGGCCATCAAGACGAGTATTTTGAAAAAAAATTGAAATCCGTCGAGTAGTTTGTGAGATATTTGATAAAACATAATTACACAAAAGGTTAAATATCTCAAGAACCGCTCGGCCGATTGCGCCTATCCAGAATACCAACCTTTAATATTATAAGAGCTAATAACATACCAAATTTCAACTCGCTATTCCAATTTTTTTTCAAGTTATCGTGCGAACAAGATTTTTTATGAAAAAACAAGAAAACAGCAATATCTCGGAAACTGTCATGAATCGGTACATATATTTTGATTGATTTAGAGTGAGGTCATCGAGCCGAGTATTTAAAAAAAAAATTGAAATCGGTGCTGTTGTTTTAGAGATATTGATGAATAACGAAGTTTAAGGGTATTATGGGGCGGTCCATAGCTGAAAAAAAAGCAGAGAATTCAATGAAAATTCCTGAACAGATTATTCGATCCATTTGAAAGCCGTGTGCAAAATGTCAAAACCCCTACTTAAACAATAATTATGGGAATAATTTTTGAAGGTGCTACTTACACACGCAGTTGAATGGGGCATCGGTAATTTTTGTGAATTTCCTACGTTATCGATAGATCAATAACGTAGGAAAAGCACTAAAATTACCGATGCCTCATTCAACCGTGTGTATAAGTAGCAACTTCAAAAATTATTCCTATTATTATTGTTTAAGTAGGGGTCTTGACATTTTGCACACAGCTTTCAAACGGATCAAATAATCTGTTCAGCAATTTTCATTGAATTCTCTACTTTTTTTCCCAGCTATGGACCCCGCCATAATACCCTTAAACAGCTCGTTATATCTCAGGAACTCGACCGATTGGGCGGAAACAGCGCACTAAAATTGGGTCCATTTATAGCTTACCATGAGTCAAAATTTCAAATTTTCATCTCCAGGTTTCACCGTATTCATGTTGAATTTTCGGAAAATTGATCACCCAAAATCCGAGTTGTTAAATACATATATACAGACATGGCCGAAAATAGTATATTTCAATACGATTGCGGGAAATTGTTTTTGGGCTCGTGGGAGGTTTATAGCACGAGCCGAAGGCGAGTTAAGGGTGCCACGTGAATTTGGCGATGACCTTGAAAATTGACATTCACCAACAAAGTTATAATTTTTTTAATTAATAGTATTAGACAGATGGTGAACATCGGTGACAATTTTAAAATTTTAGAACCTATGGATATCGAGAAATTGAATAAACAAAATCAGTCTTATACACGGCCTCTTATGGAGTTTTGATTAAATTGAACGTATCAACCCCCTAGGAACTCAAGAAAAATTTGAAAAAATTTGAAGATATGGGGAATGATGTGTTCAATGTGATGGCGACAAAAAACAATG